TTATCTGAGTAATTATTTCTGATTTCGTTTTTCCCAGTTCCTCTTTTGTTGCCAGTTCAGAGAGTCCAGGTGGTTGAGTATCAGATTGTTCCATCTCGTTTCCCTTTGGGGTTGCTGTAGGTGATCTGGAAGTCTGTTTTTGAGGCTAGTTTATGTTTCTTCTCATTTCCACGGTGGGTAGCGGGGTGCTTCTGGTGCCCGAATGGCTCACCTTCTCTGCCCTAGGAGCTTGGGATGGCAGCGGGGAGCTTCCTTCCGGGTGCTGGGACCGGCTCTGGAATGTTATCTTGATACACTTTTATTGTCACCAAAAGATTTGCATTGTGTTATAAATCTAAGCAACGAATCTTGGAAACCACCTGAAACCACAAGAAAAATGACATCCTTGTGTAATATGTAAAATAATTGACATCAAAATATGAATTTAGAGCTCAGGACATCTTTTAACATGACTAGAGCACTTTCATAAAACAAGATTTCCCACTTTAACCATCTTTAAGTATGTAGTTCAGTGGCGTTGTATACATCCACACTATTCATACTTTTGATCTTCCCTTTAATTTGTTGTTATAAGGCAAACCAGGCTGAGAGATTTAGTGATAAGTCTGGGAAGTTTCCCAAATGGAAACCAAACCATAAATACCCGACACACAGCATGTACATACATAAATGGTAACCACTATGTTCTTTGCAGCTTACCCTCCTAAGGCAAAATGAAGACTATCCAGACAAAACCATATGATTAGGTATTTGGTGTATGAGTCTTAAGGTAAAATACACACACACACACACACACACACACACACACACACACAAGCACACATGCTCATTCACTCACTTTCACACACAGACCTTTGGCCCGAGTACTTTGAGGCAGTTCAGCTCCTGGGGCTTTGACTTACTGGTCTTGGATCCATTTGACTAAGTCTATTTTACTGATTACTTTGTTCCTCTACTAATGTAAGCATTACAAATCATCTAAGAGTCTTCATCTTTCTACTTGCTGTTTTAACCATGGGAGATTGTATGAAGCTAACTTTTTTCTAAGCATACCTGCTTTAGTCTTACACCGTACCCAGAAGGTACAGTGTGCTGTAGTCTGAAATTACCATGTTGAAAATAATCATTGTAAACAGTTGTTAAAACAATATGGCCCCGAGTTTAGATTCAGAAAGACTCAGTAACACATATGCTAACCGTATTTACTTTCTGTTTATTTTTTCCTTAGGAAATCAGTGTGGATTACTCCAGTTTCTACTGAGGATGATATAAAATTGAAGACCAGTCACTTTATGTCTGACTTTCAGACTACACCAGAAGAGTTAGGGTTATTACATTCCAGTGAAATATGTCCCCTCTGAAGACTGGTAGTTGGGATGATAAATTTTGTTGGAGAACAATTTCTTATATAGAAATATGGTTGATATAAATTTCTCTTTAGGTATATGATTCCTTAAAATTCTAATTCAGTAAAGACCATGATTAATGAAGACATATTTTTAGATAATTTTATTCAAGGCATATGGCTGATTAATTTAATGTTAACTATTCAGTAATTTGTAATATCCACTTACATTTTTCTGTTCTGTATAGTAGATTCAGTAATATGTTTTCAATGACAGGGATTTGATCTAAATGATATGAACTTTCAAGAACTGTTTTAAATATTTTTCAGTAATAAAGAATACTGATAAGCTTGTATGCATGTCAGATTACAAACTTTGAGCATAGTATAAAATTGAACATACTAACTCATGGGAAATTAAAAAATCCTATGTGCCAGTACCTTAGTGTGAGCTTTCCTAATCCATCAGTGAAGTCAAATCCTGGAAGTAATTCAACATACGATAACATATTTGGGTAATTATTCCAGAAGGACATTCGATTCATACTCCAGATTTTAAGCAATCCTTCCTTGACTAAAATTTGGTGTCAGATTTTCCTTTTTCTCCAGTCTGATTTCTCCACCTTTGAAATTGTTGTACTCAGTCATGAAATCATGGTGCCAATTAGGGAGCAAGTCATTACCTGGTTATTTGACACTTGCTATTCTGTGTTGTTTTTGTTTTTCCCCAACAAGGAGTCTGCCCATGTAATACACCAAAACTCACTTCTGGTTTTGGGAGATTTCTTCTATGAAGTGTAAGAATTGAACTGTCTTTGGCTATTCTGTTTTATCAAATGTACATTTTGGATGTTACATTCTTTTGGGAACAGATTTTTGCCAAGATAATATTTTTCATTAAAGGCTTTATAAAAATTAAAGTGCTGTTACCATTTTCAGTACAATATTGCCTGCAGTTGTTAACTTGTCAAACAAAGAAGTTGACAATGACATCATGGACATCTATCCGTGGAGGTTAGTAGACAGCTGAGAAGTAAAATTTCCGTGGGGCTTAATGAATGTCAGGTAGAATTCTTTATAGCAGTTTAATTCTCTTCACAGCCCACAGGAATATGTATGTATCATTAGTAGCCCAATAAGAACACAAAGGTTAAACCATGTATTCCCCTGAGTCATTTAGCTAGTTTGTGTGGTGTCAAGATTCAAAATTGGGCTCCCTGTCTCTATGCCTCTGTCTGTGCTCTCTTCTTATACATTAGCTACTATAACTCCACTGCCTCCAATCATCTTAAGTTACTGAACTTCAGCCTCTAGAAAATGATTGCTATCAAAGGACTTTCCCATTTTGGATGTTCTTGGCTAGTAGCCTGGTGAGACTATATCAATATAAGATATATATATATATATATATATATATATATATAATACTTTTTTCTGTTTCATTCCTTGTAAGTGGTTGAGGGATGAATTAATAACATTTACAAAGCATAATATACTTCACATAAAAACTCAGATACTTTGGGTTTTGGTGTAAGCAAACCTGGACTATGTACAGTTAAGACTGATCAAAAAGTTAGTGTTCATATGCTTAACTGCTTTATTTTCTTCTTGAAGACATGTTCCTATTTTCCTTGGAAAGTGGAGATGGAGGAAGTAAAAGTAGGAATTTTCCTTTATTCAGAATCAGGGTGTAGTGATATGATGTTAGAGATCAATTGTATAAGAAAAAAAGTTCAACAAGCCATAAATTAGTGATGTGTGTTTTAGTTTGATTTGGTAGTGATTTTCCACACATCCGCACACACACACACTTGTCAGAATCCATAGGAACATACAGCTTAGAAAGGAGGAAGTTTACGATGTATCCAAATAAGAACCAAGAGAGACTATGGAAAGGTGCAAATTTCCAATGATGAATGTCATTATATTTTGTATACCTAAAATGTACCAATGATTAGAATAAATAATCGATAATGTAAAATAGGAAGAAAAGGTGCAAAGGGGTAGGGGTAGTGGGAGGGGCAGGGGAAAGGAAAGAAGGGAAAGGAAAAATGCTGAGAAATGGAAAAAATGGAAATAAAGTCTTTGTAAATAGGGAACGGTGGAGGGCGTGAAGGAAGGGCTAGGAATGGGGAAAAAATAAGAACTAAGATGCATTATGTAAAAGTACAAATCCCAATGAGAAATGTAATTGTATCATATACCTACAATGTACCAATAAAAGAATTTAATTAAAAAAAAAAAAGACTTCAGTGAACCTGACCAGAGGGCTCAGTGATCTCCAGCCCAAATGGCTCCAAATGCATTGACATTTATTGAATAGTATGGCAGACTTTTGGCCTGGGATGTATCTGGTTTAACATATGAAACTGTATTTATTAAAAGTCACAATTGTTCTGTGAAATATATACTCTAAAGATGAAAGTGTTGAGAAGGCAACAGGGCTTAGCTGCAGCTGAGTTTGGCTGTCGGCTCTGACTGCGAGCATGGTCCGGACACTCCTGAGGTATGTGTGGGGTTCAGCGAGTGAGTTTCCACTAAGCCCAGAGGAGTGGTGTAGTGCGGGAGACCTAGAGCCAGGTCTCCAGGTTTTCATGCCCAGGGCCTCACACTGCTGACTGCTGGCCTTGGGTTGGTCACATAGTTTCCCTGACCCTCAGCTTCCTCACCTCTAAAATGCAAAGGATCCTAGCTGTAGCACCCGTTCACATGGACGTGTTGAGAGCTGTATTAGTTAACTCGAGGAAATCTTGTAGAACAAATTGTGCTGCCTATGGTGACTCGGTGTGTGGGTGAACCTCACTGGCCAGCCTCTAGGAAGGCCCTGTTTCCCTGATCATTATTGCTATTACCATTATTATTATTTTGTGGGACACAGAGCTAAATTCCTACCTCTCTCTCCCTTTTTAAGAATTTGAGACAGAGACTTGCTGACTTTCTCAGCCTGGCCCCAAACTTGTCATCTGCCTGTTATAGCCTGCTTAGTAGCTGAAATTACAGCTTCACACCTGGCATTCTGACTTCTCTTTAACAGTAAATTGGCCAAATTTTATATGACATAGTTTCTGTTACTTAAATTTTGAAAATTCTCCCTATATTAAAAAGATCAAACTAAATGATGTGAGTAGATTTCATCCCTGTAGAGCTGCCCTGGTTTGTTTTTCAGCGTGAGGGAGCCCTGTGTTGGCGGGCAGATTTCCCAGTATCATCCATGAAGCATGACTCCACCAGGCTGCACCTAAAGTTTCCTTACTTGGGAACCTGTGTCAGCTGAGTGTCAGTCACATGACAGGCAGACACTGAGCTCCGTACTGCTGTGCTTTGTGGGTACAGGGAGGAGGTGTTGACAAGTGTTATGGAAATTAAGGCTCGGACTGACTAAGGGGTGTAAGAGGGGTGCATAGTTCATGTTGGGTAAACAGTGATGACCCCGCGAAGGACACTGCCAGCCTCAGTTTGAGAGTTCTGGGCGGACCTCCTGGAGTGACTCCAGAGCAGAACCCAAGTCCAGCTGTATGAGCTGGGTCTCTTATGGATATGGTTTGGGGCTGGTGCAATGGACTTAGGTAGGTGAGGTGAAGGGGGTGCATGGGATCGGGGGTGTGAGAATGGCCAAGTATCTGGCTATAGCAATGGGCACTAGGTCCTGGTGGGTGGGGTCAGGGAGTCCCGTCTTAGCAGGGTTGGCATCGTTCCTGGCCTCAGGCTGTGACTGCTCTCAGAACTCAGGACCTTGCGGGGTTGGCCAGGGGCAGACGGGGATCAGAGCTATCAGTGCAGACTTGGCCAGGACTACAAAGCCACCCCAAAAGCGTGACATGGGGACTGAGACTTGGTCTGGTGGAAGAACAGAAGTGACCTAGGTGAAGCCCAGGGGAAATGTGCTTCAGGAAGAGGCAAGTGGTCCTGAGAATGAAAATTTGGAATTCAGGATTGGATGAATTTTATTATTCTGCCCTGTGGCCCATTTGTGGAGTTGTTTTGTTCTCTGGACAGAACTGAACCATCCTCTTATACTGAACCATGTTAGTAGCTTGCAGTGAAAGGGAAACTGTCAAGCCTTTGGATTTCTTTCCCAGGTCAGCCATAAACAACCCCAAATGGCTTTCCACGATGCTCACAGTGGGAAGCTGGGGGTGGACTTGGCAGCCCAGTGAGACCAGAGAGGACGAACGGGTTCTGATTACCAGCCGTGGGGCGGATCTGGAGAGTGTCAGAAGGGAGTACTACAGGCCCTGGGTTTGTCACCCTCGGGTAAAAAACCTGATTTAACAGGGAAGAAAAGAAATAGCATGCAGAAAAGCTTGTGTAGGCCCAGAAGGGGAGATTCTGAGTTGTTCTCCCAGCCCATGATGGGGAAAAGGCCAGGTCACATTGTAGACCTGAAGAGTGGCAGAGAGAGGCCTTCTCTCATGGTACAAATGTCAGCAGCCACCGTGGTGCTTGGCCTGTGTGCAGATGGAAATCGTGTGTGGGCTGCTTTGAAGGCTAAAACCAACGCTTACTGTGGCAGAGCCACACAGACATGGACAGCAGCACTGCATGGAGGGCTCGTCTCCATTCCTGAGCCCCTTCCAGGTTTCCTGAACTTTCTGCTGCCTAAATTCAGGAAAGGCCTGGCCAGCTCCTTCGATGAATCACTGGTATTCTTTTAAAAATGAATTTGGTGGCCAACACTTTTGATCAAGTATTTGTTTTCTTTCCCCTTTTATCTCCTACACTTGGTCTTAGCCAAAAGGCGGAGAAGCGATTCTCCTTTTATCTCCTCAGGTGCAGCTGTGGCTTGTTTCCTGTCGGGCCTCACTGCTCAGCCCTGTCTGTCCCCCCTTCAGTTCCACCCCTGGCTGCAGGGTCGGACGCCTAGGGTTCAAGTCCAGAGCCTGTTCCCTTTTTCCCCTGAGCAAATGACTTAATCTACTTTAAAGCCCTATTTGCTCCTTGTCTTAGGAATATTCTACCACACCTCGGAGAATGGACTCCAAGCCCCTCACTCTTTCTTGGTGCCTCTGCCCCCCTTTTCAGGAGGCTGAGGTCCCTGAAGCTCATGGGCTATGTTTTAAAT